TGAATGAATCTCGTAGTTGTGGGGGCACGTTCAGGTGGCTCTCCTCTCGAGGTCGTAAAAGGTGGCTGGCGAGGCAGGAATATCGTCTTTGTGTGAAGTTTGCGGGGCTTGCTGCACAAAGAAGTAATGTCAGAGTCGGTGCTTGCAATGCAAAAAACAGAGATGAGTATCATCAAGCACAAGCAGGGCAGGATATCAAAAAGCAGGGCAAGTAGAAGGATATCTCGCGGAGCAGTCATCCGCCAGCGTCAGTAGAGACAGAGGTGCCGGCACAGCAACAAGTGCAGGGGGATACCTCGATGACTTAAAAGGGAACAAGAAGAAGCAAGACAGGCAAATTGCCGTGCACGTTTCTGCCATCCCATCTCTCCCAAGGCTCGGCGCGTGGCCAAAACCCCCATGCTAGTAGGTGTTGGCAAACGTGCGGTAGCGCGCCTGGGGGGCAGGAAAGGAAGGGATCCGGGGACCGGCGCTCAGATTCTCGATTGAGATGTTCTGAGATTCGTCCCCGTTGCAGTTTAGGGCCTGTAGGACGACGGAGGAACCCTGCACAGCAGAGCGAAAAGCTCCGTGGCGGCCACTTGGCGAAGGCATTATCGTGGGCATCGGGCGGCCCTAGCACAAGGCTCTGGGGTGGGGGCTGGAGGTTTGGCTCGACTGTCGAAGCAGCCCTTGTCGCTAGTGGAAATTGCGAGCTTCCGTATTGGCCTGGTCCCCTTTTCAGGGGTGGACTCGGCGCTCGGCGCGCTCGCCCAGTGGCCAAGCGGCCCAGTAGAGGGGCGGGTGACGAGCAACACGAGAAAGTTGCATGAAGTTTTGGGCTTTCTCGCTCGGCGTCTGGCATGCCAGGATGGCCGGACAAACAAGTCCCTCACGCTGTCATCGTGCGCGTCGCTCTTGCAGTCATGATGAGTTGGCTTGCCTGCATGCTGTCGATGTTCTGATGTCCTCCAGATGAGGCGAAACAGTCGAGTGTAATGATCGTCCTGACGGGCAGTGCAAGTGAGACCCCGAGGGACGTGGTAGTCGCTAGGTGGTTCCCGCCCGGAGGAAAAGTAATGCAATGTAACGCGAGACCAGGTGCTGAAGGCGGCATTCGAAACGGGATTCGTGATTAGACTGATGGGAAAACCGTTGGAGAGAGTGCGACCGGCGGTGAGTGGATGCAGAGACAACAGGAGAGACGCCAATCTCAACTAAACACCCTGGCGTCTCTGTTGACCCCGGCTTCATGATCCTCACAGTCTTGCCTCCTCCTGTCATCTGGGTCGTACTCGGCCGGTCACTGGCCCGACACCGACCACGGCCTGACCAGGCAGGTCATTGGGTGTGAAGGCGTAGACGAAAAGTACCGAAACAGCGAAAGCAAGGCGAGAGCCAATGAAGCACTCGCAAGACAACAGACAGGAAGAGAGAGCACATAACGCTTACCGAACCGATGATTGGC